TTTTGAGAGAATCCCTGCAAGCAACATTTCTGTCTCATTTAAGTAGCAACTTGCGCTGAGCTGTAGCAATGGTGAGCTAGATGAATGTGCAAATAATTGGCAGCATGTCCTTTGCAAAGTCCCATCTTATATTATTTATTAATTTGATACTATCTTTATGTTACTAATTCATGCTCTACTATTATGCTACGGTACTTGCAAGATTCGATGATACAGGTGGTAAGAATAAAAAAACATTTTCCCACTTTTTCAAACACAAAGAATTACTTCATATTATTTGGCACTGAGGCCATTTGCAGGCTAAATATATAGCTAGTGCAGGAAATCTAAATCATATGGACTATTAACCTGCCAAGCTTATTGTGTAAAGAATCAAGTTTGAAATATGTATCAAAACAGAAATACTTGAAGGGAGAAGTGGAAAGGAAGTAGTCTTGTCTTTGAAAATTAATGTTAGAGGTGTATGATTTCTTTTAATGTACAGTAATTTATCTGAATAATTTTTGGGATCCAGAATAGCAACCTACATACTGTGTAAGTCAATCTTACAAGTAAAATTGATTCTCCCTATCAGCTTCCTCAGATGGTAAAGATGACCTAAATTCCATTTTATTATTTCCTAGCTTTTCAGTGTTCTTTTTCTATGTGATGAGATGGTTGGATTAATAAATTTCCAATTTACTTAAATTCTACAGTTAATTGGGCCAATTCATTTAAACGTGATTGCTTCAGGCAGTATTTATAGATACAGAACATCCATATATATGATGGAAATAAAGCTCTGTGATATGTACAGAATATTTAGGGCCAAAGAGTGTTATCTTCACAAATTAAGCTATTCGTAGGATTTTACAGTTAAGAAGAAAAGACAAAGGACTGCATAGAACCAAATCAAGATGGAGACTTTTTTAAAAAATAGTTTGATCTAGTATCACATAGATATACTACTATTCACAGATCTTCCACTTAGGCCCTCCCCGTGTTTCCCAAAAGTGAACCCGAAATCTACTCTAGGTCTCACAATTCTCCAATTGGAGGATGTACAGTAAGGGAGTCTTCATTAGGAGATGAAAAATGGATTCCACCAGCTGCATTAATTTTTGTTAGGGAAAACCTTTAATTGCCTATGGACATCTCAACCATCCAGGTCATGTTTGCCCCAAAGGTGCTTTTTCCAAAAGGATAAATTGAAGAAGCTTCTTGGATGAGAAGCAAAATGTTTTCAAAGCAAAAAAACAAAAAACAAACAAAAACCCACAAGGAAGTCCATCTGGGTTTTGAAAAGGCACTTGTGGTATAACTTTTTGTTATATTGATTGTTCTGAAAGAGCTATATATGGCTTCTTTTTTTAATGTAGGTGCTACCTGACTCCAAATTGATTCTGGGCAGTTCACAATAAAAATACAATTCAGAATAAAACAAAAACAAAATTTATTTCTAGCTGGCATTTCTTAATAACATGATTAGCAAACAACATTCAAGGACCCAAGGTTGAAGATTGTTTTTCCTTCCAATATTTGTTATACACTAGTTTATTTTTGACAATATGGTTTTTGTGGGTTCTCTTGTGCTGAAGTCAAATTTGACTCATGCAATTGCCTGGATAGTCCCTGCAGTTTTCTTGGCAAGACTTTCAGAAGTGGTTTGCCATTGCATCCTTCCTAGGGCTGAGAAAGCAACAGGCACAGGTCACCCAGCTGACTTTGTGCTTCAGGAAAGATTAGAAGGCAAATTTGTTTGCTCTCTTGGCACAATTATATTGTATTTGCATAAATATTTAGGTCGTTCCCGAGCAATGGGATTTAGTTCCTCAGAAGTTACGCTCAATGCTCTTTTTACATTTTAAAAATCTGTACAGCACAGCCCTTCTTTTACTTAATTAATTCTAGTAGCATTTTTAATTTCATTCTTTAACTGTTTATAGTTCATTTGAACTCTTTCTGGTATTTGCATTCTTGCTAGCCACACCGGGCACCTTTGAGTAAAAGAATGGGAAACAATTCAATTACATACATATTTAATGTACCCTTAAGTCAATAAAAAGCTTAACATCTAAATTATGCTATTTTGCTGGAATATGGTATCTCACCATTAGATGGAAGAAAATCTGAGAAAATGACCTATAAACTCCCACTGAGAAAAGAAGAGAGGAATGGGACTTGGGTTTCCAAACTTGTATTGTTTTATTTCCCTTTATAAAGAGCAGAAATGCACCCCATTTAACATGAAGAAAATCCCTCCCCAAAACCAGTCAGGAGAGGAAGGTCGTAAATCACTTTTTTCAGTGCCGTTGTAACTTCGGCCACTAAATGAATTGTTGTAGTTTCTCTGAATGGGGCCAAATTCTGCTATGCTGTATGTAAGATTAGGCAAACTTTAACTGCCCACTGTTAATCCACAACCAATCACAATATATTACTATCTCTTATTTTTTTTTACTATTATTGTTGTTTTAATGCTTTTATTTGCTGGTCTGTTACTGTAATAAAATTGACAATACTTTTTACAACACCACTCCATGCCATAAGCTATGTTCATATTATCAACACTACTTATGCCACTGCAGGGTTCCTGCGGTCGGGAATAACAGCATCAAAATAGCAGGAATGAATGCCTCTTTTTAATAAGTCTTGCAAGCACTGCACATGAGAAAAAAGGATTGGGGCTACCTCTGGCCGATAACATCCATCAGATTCATGCTGTTGACACCTCATGGACATTTCTGCTTCATTGTCTACTGAAACACATATTGTGTTTGGGGTGGCTTAGACAGCCATGGGGTGGCTTAGCTCGCTGCTTTTGGTGTTAAATAAATAAATACATTTCAGAGAATATAGTATTGCCAAAGTTTTTGTAAGCAGTAACCATCAAATTGGTATCATGCATATGTTAAAACAGAGATCAGGAACTGACTTTGAAATTTTGCTAATTTTCAAGAATTTTATTGAATGTAAATAACAAAGGCAAAATGAGTCACAGCCATCATTTTATGGGATAATATGGAATATATAAGATCATATTTGCTGTACAGTGTTTTAAATATAATAAACCTGTCTTTAAGTCTTATAAAAAGTTAACTGTATGTAGCTGACCTCCATAAACATGTTTTTTTTATTTATAAGGTCTACACTTGATACTTGGAAAAAAGTATATAAATAATTTGCTTTAAAAATTCAAAGACTAACCAAAGACTAAAAACACACTGGCACCTCCACAATTGTGTTAAAAAATTCTGCTATCTTTAAAGACTAGATGCATTTATATACCAGCTCTAAAGAGACACTATGACACCTACTTCCATCAATATTCAGATCACATTTGTATTTAATATATCCATGCTGCCACAATACTGAGTGACAATGTTTCCTAACAATATGTTCAAGAATCTCCTACTGATTTATAGATATACTAAATCATAAGCCCTTTCTGGCTTGATAAATGCTTACTGGTAAATTGGAACAATCAACTTCAGGGCAATAATTTTGATACACTCTATTTGGTGAAGTAGCTCTTCATCATCTGGCAGGATCAAAAAAATATTGGGAACGACTTTGAGACCTTACATGTAACCATGATTGGTTCCAGCCATAGTTCATAGCCTTAACCTTGATGAAGATTCCAAATATACAACAAAACCATAGCTGTCCTAAGCACACTCAAGGCAAAAGCAGAAATATAACTGAATGAAATCTACCTGTCACATTATAAGCAAGACTGGTAGAAGAGGAAGAATGTTTTATTCATGGTTTGTTTGGGATTAAATTATTACCTGTTTATGGTAAATTTAAACTAACCTTGTAAACCTATTGTAATTATGCTCTCCTCATTTTGATATCAATCATTAGCCATGATCTAGGTCAGAAGTATACCTTGTTAGGCCCACATGTACTTTCCACACCCACATACAATGTCAATGACAATATGTGCAGCACACGGTCTGCACTTTTGCAATTGCACTGCAACATTGGATGCATGTTTCATCTCTTGTCTTTTTCCCTAGCAAATGTCTATGGCTTCCATCGATACAAAACTCCATAAAAGTTTTTAGGGCAGCTATCGGAGAATTTCTCAGTTACCAGCAATCATAATATTTATGATTATAATCAATTAAATGAAAGTGCAAATGAAATGAAATCAGTTGTAGTTTTTGCCATGGCTTCACAATTTTGGGGGACTGTGGCACCTGACATGCTGTTCTGAAAAAAAAAAAAAACCCAAACTATTCCACTTCTTTAGGTATTCAAATGTAATACTTCACCATGGTAAAAAACAATTTAAGGCTTACCATTATGCATACAGAGGAACAAGATAGGTAAGCATTTGGCCTTATGTGTGTAGGTTGTTTTCAGTAAAAAAAAGGGCGGGGGAATAGAAATAAGTTGTATTAAAATAGTACAGGAGTCATTCCCAGACAAAAGGCATAAATTATTGGCAGAAAATCAAAAACACGTATTCAGGTATTTTTTTTGGATATAACCTAATCTCCAGCTAGCATTTCACAAAGTTTTTCATTAGAAATCTGTACAATTGCAGGCATATTTATGAAGATTTAGGGGAAAACAGGGAATGCATTTACTATATGTAATTAAATCTATACATTGGGAAAGGGTATATTTATTGTTTTGACTTAGAAAAGAAAAAGTGGGAAATTTTATCCTGAGTTAGAAGGTAAATCATTTTCATATTTCTTTTGTTATAGACTCCCATTCAAGCCCTTTAATTTGGCAGTGTAAAATAATCTATTTTCCAAATACTTCCAGTAAAAAGAGCTGCTTGGGGAGTGTAGACAAGGCAGATTCTTTTCATAATTGTAAGTAACTTAAAAAGAATGTTAAATGCACCTGCATAATTCATCTACCCTAATGGAAATCAAGGCCATAGAGAAGTTGTTTTAAGATCCATTGATACCAGTGGGAAATTTAGGCCATGGGTTTTAATAGCGGCTGGGCATGGGCAGTTATAATTAAGGTTATATGCAGGTATTTTCAGTTGGAAATTATTAAGACAGAGATGTAATATTGGAGCGTCCACCTGGGGGTGCGATAATTTTCTGTGCAGTACGTCTTGCAATATGGTCATCTGCTTGAGATCCTAGAAGAGATATAAAATATACTTTCTATATATAAGTAAATGAAAACATGTATTTGATCATACAGTATATATAGTTGCATGGGTGATAATTAAAAGTCAATTGGGTCTGCAATTTTATTCTCTCTCTCTCTCTCTCTCTCTCTCTCTCTCTCTCTCTCTCTCTCTGTGTGTGTGTGTGTGTGTGTGTGTGTGTGTAAAACTATATCTACTATAACTATATGATATATAATTTCCCCAAAAGTAAGCCCTATTTAGCCAGATGTAATTTTTTTCTGATTAGACTTCGTAGAATTATTCTACCAAACGTATTTATGCTGACAAAGGAAACTGAATAAATTAAGGCTGAAATTTGCCAAATTCATGTGAAAAGATATTTTGGAAACTAGGTCTTCATATTCACATGTAAAGGAATGCTAAAAAAAAAGAGCCTTCAACTTCCAGTCTTTTAATCAAATATGAGGAACTAAAATGGAGGAATTTTCTATTCATTAATTTCATAGAAGGGATTTATGATTGTGCTTAACTTCCATAATTGAAATTAATAAAAAATTAAAATGAAAAATGCTTAGCTAGCTGGAATAGACCCTAAGGGATTCTCAAATGCTTAGCAGCTAAACATTTAAGTATTTAGTATCAAAAAATGAAACTACTGGCATATTACATGTGACTTGACAGTAAAGTAACTATAGCCTATCATCATCTTTATCATCACTACATTCTTGGCTGTCCATGGTATTCTCATGAGTCTTCTCCAGCACCATTGTTCAAAAGCATCAATACTCTTTGTATCTAGGCTCTTTAAAGTCCAACTTTAACTTCTATAACATAGAGAATATTATGGCTTGCACTATTTGTAGATATAGACTCATCATGGCATTTGAATAACTCACCAAGGCTTTCATGGCTGCTCTACTAGGTGTTATAGTCTGTAGTATTTTTCTCAACTGCTTGTTCCTTGCAATAATGTTGATGGTTGTTACTAAAAGGCAGAAGCTATCTTTTTTTTTCTTTTAATGACCCTATAATCCATTGCATCGGAGTGGAGTTGGGGCAACTGAATGGAGCCGAGTATTTACTGGCTGGATGCCCTTCCTGATGTCTCTGTGAAGCTCACAGCAGATATTTTTCCTTTGTGTCCAGAGAGAAAAATATCTGCCGCTACGTAGGATCGAACTCACAGCCTCCTGATTATGAGGCAAAAACTCCACCTCTGTGCCACCACACTGCTCAAAAGGTGGAAGCTATCTACCGCTTTGGTATTTTTATTTCAATTTTTTTGCACCTGTTGTGATTAGTTTGGTCCTCTTTATATTTAATTTCACTCCTCCAATTTTAAAACCATGCTCATCTTCCAATCCAGCTTCCCTTAATATATATTCAGCATATATTATCACCACATATAAAGTGCTGAAAAGTTCCTAAGAGCTGTATAATGGTTAAGTCAGGCACTGCTTACCAATTGATGATCTAAAAGGTAATAGTAAGCTTTCATTTTGATAATTCTGTTATCACCTCAATTTTTTTTTCTTTACAACTTGACTTACCAGACAGACTGAAGCCTGACTGATGAAGGTTGCGGATTGATGGAACCTGTATTTTGCCTGAGCAAGTAGCTATCCTTGAGGTAGGAGCTGGAGCAACAGCTTTAGCGGTTACTATGACATCATGAACAGGTCCATCATAAAGTCCACGAGGTACCCCATGGATTTCAGCCAGCTATAAACATACAATAAAAGGGAGAATTATTATAGAAGAGGGTTTTGCCAGAATTCCATGGACAACTTTATGAGTAAACAATTTAGGATTAAAAATCAAGCTTGATTTAATTTTCCTGGCTACAATATAGAAGTGATCTGTCACTATCTTCTGGGATGCTGTGCAAATGCATAAACACTCTCACATACTATTAATCAAGTATATTGTACATATGCACAGGTCATATTCTGCAGATTCAGATTTCTACTTAATACAAAATTAAAAACTGAATATATAATTGTGAGGATGCATGAGCTCAAGACTGGTAATGACAAACATGGAAAGAGAACCCTACATTCAAATATTTGCTTAACTGTGAAGCTCAATGACCTTTAACCAGCTGTCAGCTTGGTTCTCTTAGCTTTCATTATATACTAAATGATAATGTACCTGCTTCATTTTGTCTTAATGTGTTGCAGAGTGATGGCAAATTACAGAATGTCTTAGGTTCATACTGTATGAACCTGGCCACAATTTCTTTGCCTAACCTACTTCACAATGTAAACATGACTTCTTTTTCAAAAAATAGAAAATCTAGACGTATGTGAAGGAAAGCCAATTATTCTTAAAACCTTAATTGAACACCATGTTTCTGATTTTCCATTTTGTTCTCAGCCGTTGTCCTGCACTTTTGATGTTGCAACAATGAAGTAGATTTCACATACAGAAAAAAAATCTCACCCTATTCCGGGCTTTTATTCTTTTGTAAACAAAATCAGGAAATGTCTTTCGAGGAACGAAACGGCCAACACCTGGAGTGACACAGAGGTTTCCATCTTCCAATACAACCTTCCCTTGACTTATAACCACTGTAGGGACACCATGACACTCGGTTCCTTCAAATATGTTGTATTCCACATTCTGGCAAAACAAAATATTACAGACTCAGCTTAATATTCAAGCAAAATCCCAGGACTCAATGAACCAATGTCCATGCACATCGTTCAAACAAAAGTAGGAAAACTATACACTCAGGGATGGAAAGGTACATATAACCTTGTAATATGATATTCGCCAAGTAATATTATGAATATGTGTCATTTTAAGCTGTATGTAGAACTTACACATTAGCCAGTCTTTTATATCTGTCGGCCGTGACCAGGGGGGCGTTTTATCAGGTTCGCCTGATTTACCAGTTGCGACCTTTTCTGGACCGGGACGCCTTGCGCACAGTCACTCATGCTCTCGTCACCTCTCGCCTGGACTACTGTAATGCTCTCTACATGGGGCTCCCTTTGAGGAGCACCCGGAGACTTCAACTGGTCCAGAATGCGGCCGCGCGNGTTTTTTAAAAAGTAATTTTAATGGGAACACAGCAATCAATATTTGGCTTTTAATTAGGTTTTAGTGGGGTTATTTTGTGTATTTTTGTATGATTTTCTTTGTATCCTGTATATTGTATTTGTGTTTTTAATATGCTGTGAACCGCCCTGAGTCCTACGGGAGAAGGGCGGTATACAAATTAAATTAACCTTAACCTTATGCATGATGCTGGACCAATATGAGAGAATTAGTCTGTAGATATATGATGCAACAAAATTCATGTATCATTCATATAATTCAAGGATGATGTATATTAATTGCTCAGTTTATGCATTTCCCAACAAAGTATTTGTTTGTAAAAGCTCTTTTATATAGCTTTTGAAAACATGAGAAACTTGATAGAACAAAGAAAATGACTGAAAGCCCCAATTCAGATACAGAATTTATAACCACAGATGAATGTAAACATCTCAACATCAAATATTATCTCCCTTGACAAGGCAGGGTTCCCAATCACAGAAAAGGGGACTCAGATGAATTAATATATATTATAATCCAGATGAAGATCCTTTTAAGCCATCAAATATATGAGAAATCACATTCAATGCCACATTCCCTTCAAATAATGGCAATCTGACTCATGAACAGGCCACAGCTTGGTTTATTTATCTTTACTTTCTAACCTATTAGAACTGAATTTATATTAATATCCTCACAGAGATAGAATTTTTAATAAATGTTGAATCAAGTCTCCCAGTAGCCTAAAGTTGCCCTCCCAGAATGTCCTGCTGCAGCTTTGTACTTCTTTTGATGATAATGATAAAGTTGGAAGGGACCTTGGAGGTCATCTAGTCCAACCCCCTGCTCAGGCAGGAAACCCTATACCATTTTGGACAAATGGCTGTCCAGTCTCTTCTTAAAAACATCCAGTGTTGGAGCATTCACCGCTTCTGGAAGCAGGTTGTTCCACTGGTTAATTGTTCTAACTGTCAGGAAGTTTCTCCTTAGTCCTAGGTTGCTTCTCTCCTTCATTAGTTTCCATCCGTTGCTTCTTGTCCTGCCTTCAGGTGCTTTGGAAAATAGCCTGACTCCCTCTTCTTTGTGGTAGCCCCTGAGATATTGGAACACTGCTATCATGTCCCCCCTCGTCCTTCTCTTTGTTAAACTAGACATACCCAATTCCAGCAGCCATTCTTTATATGTTTTAGCCTCCAGTCCCCTAATCATCTTTTGGCCAAACCCTAGTCAGATGCTCCTTTGAGAAGCCTGATGCTCAGTGGAAGAGCAGTGGGGAAGGGTTGTGACTGTGTAAAAGGACCAGGTTCTGACACACAAAGATTAAATCCTTGCACTACAAAGGAAATCCCGAGAACTTCCAGTTAATTGAGACAGGACTGAGCTAGATGGATCATTGTGCTATATCTGGATTATGTACCTTCTGAAATTCAACAATGAGATTGAAACTATAATTTCTACCATTTCTACCCAACCTTTCCCAAACTGAAATACTCAAGTAACAAAATATTAAGAAGCGGGCACACAGCTATGAATAAAAAAAAAACCCTCTCTCATGAACAGGTATAATGCAATTAAAGTTAAAGATGCTCATTTCAACTGTAGATTAAGATTGTAATTCATACCCTGTAATTTGTACATAGTATCAACACTGTCAAAGCTAACGGATGCAGAAAATGTTAGGAAAACTAACAAGCTCAGTTAGATCACAATAATGACTAATATAAGGTATGGAACGTCTAATTCAGGGGTAGGCAACGTTGGCTCTTTTATGACTCATGGACTTCAACTCCCAGAATTCCTGAGCCAGCTATGCTGGCTCAGGAATTCTGGGAGTTGAAGTCCATGAGTCATAAAAGAGCCAACGTTGCCTACCCCTGGCTAATTCAATGAAAAATAAAACTTATTGTTTGCTTTTACCGAGTTGTGAGTTTTTGCAGAAATGATCTTTGTAGCTTTAGGATTCCAAATAACCAGATCAGCGTCTGACGCCACAGCAATCCGCCCCTTCCTGGGATAGAAGTTGAAAATCTTGGCTGAATTAGTACTGGTCACTGCTACAAATTCATTTTCATCCATCTTCCCTGCTGCCTAGAAATGAGGGTGTGTGTGTGTGTGCGTTTGAAGGGAGGGAGGGAGAGAGAGGTTGGAGAAAAAATATGAGGTGGGAAAAATAATAATTTGAAATTACCGTAAAAATAATATATATTTCTTATGAATTCATGAAATAAAATTTACATATTCCATGATTTCCCTTTCAAATTTATCCCAAATAAATTTGGCATCTTTTTAAAAAAATTTGACTACATGTTCATAGAGTAAATAAATTATTTCAGAATGCCACATACTACTGTAAGTAACAAGGAAGAGGAGAGCTGCTAGTAATACATTTAATGGGAAACCTTTCAGAAACATCTAAGATAAACAGGCCAGGATGAAAGACTAGTTCTAGAGACTCTATTGTAGATCTCGGCTATCCAATTTTTTGGCTTGCCTAAGCTGCACTGAGTAAAGAGGAACTGTCTTGGGCCACATATAAAAGTTATAATATAGTTAATGTATATGAATCACATAATTATGTTAAAACCTTACAATCTTGGGCGGCTGCATGCAGCCTGCAGCCGATGGGTTGGAACACACCTGCTCCACGTAGAGCCTCTGGATACACTGATCTACCACGCTGCTAATTCCAAGTCATGGGAAGTTTGATTTGAGCCAAGTGAATCCTTCTGATGAGCTAAGATAGAAGGTTAGGATAGGGGAATTTGGAGATGGCATTATTTTCTGGCCTCTTTTAAAGACATGGGACTTTAGAGCTTGTCTCATAACAACAAACTTCCTTCCACCATCAATTCAAAATGTACACATTTTGACTGATGCTTTTATTTTTTTAAAAAAAGGTATAAAAGAGCTCCCGCGGATTTTATTTGGCTGGTTGTTGCCGACTATAGGGGCTGGTGCTCATCTCCATTTCAAGGCTATTGAGCCAACCCTGTACCAAAACATTTCTGGGTTCACGTGGCCAGCATGAAGTCACGAAGCGCTGTTAACTTCCCACCGAATTGGTACCTAGTTATCTACTCGCATCTGCATGTTTTCAAAGTGCTAGGCTGGCAGGAGCTGGGCATGGAGCTCAGGTCTCAAGGCTGGGCTTCTGGTTTCCCAGCCAACAAGCCCAGCACCTTAACCATTGAGCCACCATGCAGCCCTTGATGCCTTTGTTAGGAATCAGCATAATTGCTAGACCAGGGAATGCAGAGGCTGCAGCAGAGAGGCAGAAGATCAAGAGAAAAATCATATCAATTTCACAGCCTACATTGGAGGCTGGGAGCATAACATCTCAGCCCCATGCATAACATCAGCATGATGTTAAGGCTGTGAGACAAGTCATAAAAGAGCCAAGGTTGCCTACCCCTATCCTATATGGTCAACAGCAAATGATGAAGTTATAACCAAAAACTTCACTATTTTGTAACAAACGTCTTCCGCTGAACTTACCACACATTTTTCCCAAATTACTGACATCCGTTCTTCAATGCCATTTGTTCCTTCTGGAATCAGAGCGAAGTTATCCTTTCCAACAGCCTTCTGTGCCGTGGTGAAGACACAGTGAGCGCTGCCCACCACTTGCAGATCCCCACTAGTTAAAACAAATGTCAAATCAGTAAACAAAAGCAGAGGCCCCATGGCACTCAATATCTATGGCACTTCTGAGGTCTCATTGGTAAAAAGCAAAGAAAGATAAGTTTTCTTGTTTAATTCTTAAGAGTGCAATATAATTTATTCTGTTGGTACATTTGAACTTCATAGTTGAAAGGTGGTAAAATCCATATCTTTTTACTGCTCTATAGCTTTCTTAGCTCTCTGCAATTCCTGGTCCAAATAAGTAGAGTGGAAAACTTCCCTTCTGTTATCTTCTCTTGGATTTAATTAAGGGAAGGAAGCCAGGGAAGTTACAGAGAGGACTGTACAATGAAAACAGGCTTTGATGAGTGGTTCTTATTGATAACCTTATACTTTCATAATTGTTCCTCTTTGCAATAATACAATATACCAGATTTCAAAGCTATGGACACACCAAAGAATAGCATGTCTCTTGAGGACTATGGTAAAAGCCTGCCAATTGGTTGCTAATAGCTAGATCCCAAGAGTGATTCTTGAGATCCTATTACACTATTTTCCTGTTCTCCATTGTGCTCATTGAGATATCTCTTGGGAGAGGCTTCCTGATCCATCTGATATTTTTCAAAATAATTTTTCTTAGTTAAAAAAAAGTGAGAAGTTGATATTCTGCCAATAAGCACCAGCTTTGAACATCATTTATTTATTTCCAAGAATGTTTGAGGCCCTCAAATTATTTTTTTAAGTAAAATGAAAAGTAGATGAAGTTCAATACTTTTGATATTTTCAAAACTACCCAGAAAAAAAATGAAGCTGGGGTAGAAGAATCTAGGTAAGTGGTACAGAGCAATCTCACTAGATCACAATTAGTAAATGGCATTGAACTGGCAGGATTTCAAATGTTTCCTCCATCTTAGAAAAGGTTTGAAACCCCTATATTACTTCTTCCCATTAAAATTGCCTTTTGTTTGGCAGATTGAGAAAACGACTTACCAGGCTAAGAGTGAAGTGAGATAATCAGGTGTTGTGGGGTCTGGACTGATAGGTGGAGATGTGACAAATGCTGCCGCTTTTGCCCAATTCTTACTCCAGTAATGTGAGCCATCAGTGCCAAGACTTGCTGTAATGGGCTCTCCATATACAATGGTGCCTAAAGACATAATTGTGTGTTGGTCATTCCTGGGGACAAACGGGATGAAGTCTCTCCCAGCTAGATATTCTTCAACTAGTGCTGGACATTTGACAGAAAGAGAGACTGCTCCTGTTCTTTTTTAATTTACACAACTCTTGCCCTCTTTGCATACCTCATGGAAAAAAGAAGCATATTTATAGAAGAAACCCGCTGAGTCTGTATATATATACATATATATATTCAGTCTAAAGCCTTGAAAACATGTGCCAGGGAAAAAGAACACACACTAACAAAAATCCTGTGAGAGTCAAGTCCGATTGTAAGTGAACGACAACTTCTCGAATGGACAGTAACCAAATTAGCAAATCACTAGAGGCAAATCTATTCATAAAAGTGTAGAGCTTTTGAGGTAGAGAATGTATGCCTGTGTTTTAAAAAAATAGCTGACATTTCTGGACCTTAGGGCTTCTGGAATAGGAATGAGACTAAAGACAAAGTGACAATTTGACAGTATCTTGCCTACAACATCTTAGCATGTAAAAGGCCTGCCACTGCTAAAGATGCACGCATGAAAGAATTTCAACTTCAGTTCTAAAAGGATTCAGTTCTAAAAGGATTCAGTTCAAAATGCACTACTAGCAATTTTGCTTAATCTCCCAAAAAATTACGCCTATTATAAATGTGGAAGAAGTCTGGATCTTCTCTTTTTCCATTCAAAAACTCTTAACATAATAGGAAACTACCCATGGTTTTCAAACATCTGGAAAGTAATTAGTTCTAATTAAGATAGACTCAGGAAGGAGGCAGTGGCAAACTCCCAAAGAGGCTTTTTCATCAGGCAACTGGACTTTCTTGTTTTTCTTTGAAGACGTTTCGCTTCTCATCTAAGAAGCTTCTTCAGCTCTGAGTGGATTGACTGGCCCAAAGTCACCCAGCTGGGTTTCATGCTTAAGATGAGACTAGAACTCACAGTCTCCTGGTTTCCAGCTTGGAGCCTTAACCCAGAAGACCAAACTGGCTCTCAATATCCAGCACAAAGATATATAGGAATAAGGTTCAAATCCTCATCAAAAAGGAAATATGAAATGGTACTTACCTCTCCTCTTAGCTTGTGCTATGACATCTGCAGCGCCTTTGCTCATAACCTTTGTGACATATAAGGGGCAATTGGCTTGTTTCGCTATAGTAATAGCACGATACACTGCCTCTGTTTCAACCTTGGAAAACATGAATAGTCAGATACTTTCTTCAAAGTGACTCTTTCATCTAGACCTGCATGTCTGAAGAATCGCTCGAACCCCATCTTTTTCTTCTAATTTGTACTCATGGGAAAATGGCAGTTTCAGAAAAAAATAGGAAAGTTAGTGTTATGATTTCCGATTTTAGAAATTGTGAATAATTCAGTTACACATTAATGATTTCAGGCTGAAGCTCAGTATTAAACAAATGGGAAGTGCAAATTTGCATATACAAGATACAAGTACTATTTAAAAAAAAAACAGGCTTAGGATCACTGCCACTCAAAAAAGTTTAAATCAGATTTCTTTTCATTATAAGTCATCCTCAATTTCTAACCATAATTGTGGCCAGAATTACAGTTGTAAGATATGCTGGTTGTTAAGCAGGTTACATACCTGATTTTATGACCTATTTTGCAGCAGTCCTTAAGTGAATCACTGCAGTCCTTAAGTGAATCCATTGTCCACAATGGGCATATTTTGCAGAAAAACTGGAAGTAAATGCCAATTTCTGACAAAAAATATATATCATAAATTGCAGTCATGTGACTGAGGGAAGCTACTATTGGCTGCAAATGCGGGCTGGTTGCCATGTTCTTAAAATGCAACCAGGTGGCCCTGGGGGGGGGGGGAAGGGGCAGTTGTAACTTTGAACCCGAGTCTTAAGTAGCCTTGGGGAGGTTTGTGCTAACTTTGAATGGTCACTAAGAGACCGGTCATAAACTGAGGACTGTCTGTATTTCTCTTAAGTGTCATTTGGGACATTTCCTTTTTAACAACTTGTGAACTAATAAAGGAGAATATTTGTAGCTCAGGGTTGAACTGAGAGGTCCTTGGTGCTCTCTGGGCTTGCTTGTTTTGTTGCAGGCGTCTCATTACTCAAACTAGGTAACATCCTGAGTGCGAGTAAGGAGTCTGTTTGCTGCCAGTTTATATTCTGGTGTCTTGCCCTGTCAGTGTTGGTGGGGGTGGTCTTAGAGATAATTTGGCTGGGCTGATTAATGTTGGCTTCTTTGGCAGTTTCTTCATAGGTTATTGGTTACTTGATTGTTGTCTGATGTTAATCCTGGAGTTCACCTATGCTGATCTGGTTGCTGATTGCTGGTGGAGAGAAGTGCTTCGGTCTTTTTGTTCTCTTTTTGACTGGTTGATTGTCTCTTTTGCATAGTTCTATAGATGTTAATGTCTATTGGTGGTTAATCTGTTAAGAGTCCCAGGCTTTTAGAAATTCCCTGTCGTTTTTGGACTTGGCTTGGTCTAGGATTGTCCCATTTTCTCAATTGAAACTATGGTTAAATCTGTCTATATGTTGTGAAATTAAATGATTTTCATGTCTTCTGACTGCTAGTTGGTGTTCATGGATGCGTTCTGCTAGTCTACTGCCTGTTTGTCCTACATAGTGGTTTTTGGCAGTCCTTACATTGTATGTGTCGATGACTCCTGTTTATTCTTCTGGGGTTGTTGGGTCTTTTGGTCTGCTTAGGATGTTTTGAAGGTCTTTAATTGGCTTGTGTGCTATGCTGATTCCATGTGGTTGGAATATGTTGTATAGATTATTTCCTTTTTCTGTTGTTCTGGGTTGCTGCGGTGTGTTAGATCTTGTCTAAATAACGTCCTCATACAGATATCCAACAAAATGGATATCCACGCAACTTTATCAAAAAGTCCCTGACCACCCAACCCAATACAGCACAACCAACACAAACTCTACAAAGACATTGCCATACATCAAGAATATGTAGCCTTCTTGGAAACTTGAAAACTTATGAAATTTGCAAATGAACCTACAGTATGTAAATTTGTGGGTGAGCATTTGCTAATTAAGCAAATTTTGTGGAATGGTAAGTATTTCTATAAGACAAGTTCATATTACCTCTTCTGGGTGACTGAGGACATGACCCTCTGGACCAGTAATCCCCAATTCCAAGAGTCTTTTTTGCTCCTAAATCAATCAATAAATACAGGAGGAATAATAAGTAAGATGTGCAGATATTGCATCTCAAGTAAAAAGTAAACTTTTAAAAACATCTCCTCATCCAGCTGGATGCTTTATAGATAAGTAGACTACAACTGCTATAACTCCCAGCCAGAAGTCTGAATATGCCTAATCTACAAAAACAAAATAATTTATATTCTGCTTTTAAATATATGCAACAAAGTATTTTGAGAAATTTTCATGAAGACTTACAAAGGAAATGGATACATCTGAGATTTTATTGGCTGGAGAATTCTGGGAGTTGAAATCTACCCATCTTAAACTTGCCAAGGTTGAGAAACACTAGTCAGTTTGGAAAACAGATTATTTGGACATCTCCTTCTTAAATAATAACCCAAATATACTCAAACTGATTAATTATAGATAATTTACTGATTTTCTAATATCTTTGTTTAATATTGATCTCATTTATGAAAGAATACTAATATAAGCCAAAAACATTCTGCCATGCAAATTGCCCTATTATTATTAAGCACCAAATCATACTATTTTAAAAAATGTTGATGTAATTAGGGGATATATTAGTTGAACATTCCCATGATTTATGAAATCTCTTAAGATTCAAAGTTGGTTATCTCCATCTAGAACAAAGAGTGATGGGTGCAACTTTTGAATTCCTTATCTTTAGTTTATCTAACACTGTCCTGAAATTCAGGAAGCAGCTGAAGAATAGGGATGCAAACGTGTCACAAATGATTCAAAAGAAATGCTTTGGACCTTGCACAGGGGTGACACTTCTGTCGTTCATTAAAATAGGCTACCATTTTTCTTGCTTCTGCACAAGCTGGATAAGAAACACTGCTGCTTTAAGGCATCCCTTCAGTGACTCTTAAACTGTGGAGCGGCTTTAATGAATAGCAGAGACATGTGGTGCTTGGTGAAGCCTGAAACCTCCATCCAAATCATTGTCAAACTGTAAATAGCCCTAGAGAAAAAATGGGCATTGCACTTACCCATGAGGGATGCCATGCCTTAAAGAATAGATGGACTATTAGCATGTAAAATTTGGCAATAATTTTTAAGATTATCTAGTCCACCCCTCTGTCTTCAGTCTAATGCACTGTTTCTCAACCTTGGCATCTTGGAAGATGTGTGGACTTCAAATTTCAGAATTCTGGGAGCTGAAGTCCACACATCTTCAAGTTGCCAAGGTTGAGAAACACTGGTCTAAGTGACTCCCCAGTTGCTCTGGGGAAGATACTGACTTTTGTTTTCTTAGGAAAATGGCATTGTCTAAAGGCAATAAATGGGTGAACACCAAGTTGCAGATCTTGGGAAATTGTACCCTCAAAAGCAGCACAGCGTATGGTATTTGGAGGGCTGGTAGTAAACAATGTCAAAACTGAAAATCAAATTATAAGCCTACAGATTGGATTTTATTTCCTTACTTTCCCTTTTATAGTGCAAGGATGGGGTCTTCAGAGGAAAAGGCATAGCAGAGGGAGGCAACTTCAGGCTACTCTTCAAGTGACATGAATACAGACTCCAGGCACATATAAAAATGTAGGAATGACAATCAATCAGAATATGGGGCAAAATGTGCATTCAGAGAATAGTTGATATAAGCAAAGGCTCTGCAAACAGTTGTAGTCAATCAGCAAAGAACTGAGATCTGTGCGCAAGGCCTGGCACAGAAGTATGTCAGCAATACCTTACGGCCATTATCTTCTCCCTGTGACTGATGACAAGGAGAGCTCATGCTATAACTTCAGATCTGAACCAAACTATCAACTGCCATAAAGCTGTTAAGGGAATTCCACTGAAACCTCTGTGCTTTTGTCTGCCACCATGTGCAAATAGGAGACATCAGGCTTAGAAGGGAATAGGAACAAAAGAGGAATGTAAAAGGAGAAAGTCAAATGTCAGAAACTGTTACTGACTTCTGAAAGACACTGAATCCTAGTTTTCTTATAAAGTGTCTATAAATGCTATTATTGGCGTTCTTGTAGGTAACTGGAAAGTTACTCTTCTGATTTTAAGGAATGGACCTAGGATATGTATTTGTTACCTGGTTTGGAAAAGTCTTTGTCCTTTATAGATGAGAATATGACATGTCAGGTTGCTATATGGAACAGATTTAATGATAAGCCCAACAACTGAATCAATTCCATATAGGTATTTACAGATAGTCCTCAACATATGATCACAAGAGGGATTGGAATTTCTATCGTAAGTCATTGTAATCGTAAGTGGAGTCAGACCTGATTTTACAACAATTTTTACAGTGGCTGTCAAGTGAATCAACCAGCCATTAAGTAAATTACAGAACTGTTAAGCAAAGCCAGTGTCCCCAATGGGCTTTTTTTTTGTTGGAAATCAGCAAAAATCATCACAGATGATGATCACGTGACTATAGGGCATGGCAAGCAGTCGTAAATGCAAGCTAGTGGCCAAGTGCTCAAACTACGATCACATGACCGTGGGGTGATGTAATGGTTGTAAGTGCAAGTAAAAGTCGTAAGTCACCTTTTCTGAGGCTGTTGTAACTTTGAACAGTTGTTGAACCAATGGTCTTAAGTCCAGGACTACCTGGTATACCTATATGGAACTTTTGTTTTTCTTAATTGGGGAGAGTTATGCTTAGTTAATCAGTATAATTTAGGGTTCTTTTCCTTTACTGTATTGTCATTATTCATGATAGACTTTTTCTATTTCATGACAATAAGCAAATAAGCAATACAAATGATATCATCTGCAATATTAAAATGGGACTCCCTATCACATCCCAAAGTACAATAAGGATAACTGAAATAATTACAGAGTTAATATATGCTAATGAGTGTTGACCTTGGTGATGCGTGTATTTATCAGACAAATGTTAATATCTAAAGCAACAGAGTTTCTTAGGGATTCAGCTGAATGTGTGGGAAGCTTTCAATTAAAAGCTCAAAAGGGTGCACTCATTAGCCAGGTCTCACCAACTGCAGGGAACACTAGAATTAAGGGGGAATGTACCTGCACTGTCTTGTTTCCTTTTTAAACTAAAAAGGTCTAACATGGAGTACAACTTTTTCTACCTCATCAATGATGTCTCCATTTTCCGCATGGACTTGAGCAATGGCACCCATTTCACGAATAAGACTGAATATTTCATACATCTGCCAAGAAAGAGAGAAAAACAAGTCCTAAAATGAAATAGTTTCCATTTCTATACTATAACATCATTAAAAATGGTGTGCTTCTATTATCTTTAATTACCTGAGCATCAGTGCACTGGAGTTTGTCTTTATAGGACATGAAAACAAGAAAAGAGTTCACACCTTAACAAAAACAAAAGTGAGTTACTGGTTGCAATTGAAATAAGAACAACAGTTTTTAAGTTACAAAGTTGGGCTATTTATATTCAGAGATGATAAAAACATAAGACTTTATTTAAAAAACAATGAAACAGAATCAATGCTCATGACTATGTTTCTAATTATGAAATTGTTTACTTAGAAGAAAATTCACATTGGCAATTTAACTATTATTGGTACTGCTACAATAGAATGGTTTTTATATAAGGGTGTATATGTATGTAAATAATTTCAGCTTTCTTACAGCAATCATTCCACCAGTAATAACAAGGAAAACGGTGTATTTGGGTTTTCCCTAGAAGGTGCTCATCAGAAAAGCTTCTAAGGAAATCTGTTATTTTTTTTAGTCCTTTGGATAATCTGTGTTAAATGATAGCCAAAGTTGTCCTCCGAATTCCGTAATCAAATCAGCCAAAGCAGATACCCTCACCCCTCTTCAGAACTGGCCTTGAGCATTCCAGCAGCAACATAACCACTTATGCATCAAGTCATGTTTTCTGAAATTTTACTTAGAAAAATGGCTTTTTTAAAAAAAAAAAATATCGACCAATGTTATAATAAATAAGCATTTAGGTTGCAATCTGGTGGTACTCTGATAAAGTTTAAAACACCCCAAAATATATCAGATGCCTTTCTTCAATCTCAGAGGGGAAAATCTGATACAAACTACCCACTTCTTTCTGAGATCAGGAATTCCAAGCTTGCAGGGCCCTCAAACTACGGTAGAGCAGGGGGCAGTGAACAAAATGAAGAGAAGGATGAGGGGTGACATGATAGCAGTGTTCCAATATCTCAGGGGTTGCCACAAAGAAGAGGGAGTCAAGCTATTCTCCAAAGCACCTGAAGGCAGGATAAGAAGCAACGGATGGAAACTAATCAAAGAGAGAAGCAACCTAGAACTAAGGAGAAATTTCCTGACAGTTAGAACAATTAACCAGTGGAACAACCTGCCTCCAGAAGCTGTGAATGCTCCAACACTGGAAGTTTTTAAGAAGAGATTGGACAGCCATTTGTCCGAAATGGTATAGGGTTTCCTGCAGCAGCAGCAGCAGCAGCATTAATGTGTGCGGTGTTGGATCCTTTTCCTCCATGAACATTGACGAAATAAATACACGTCAACACCTATGGATCCTGCTGCATTTTATTTCTGTCTGGACATTTCACAACCAGCAAGGCTTTAGAACTCAGGGGAAGTAAATCCCATACAACTTACTTGGAAGTAAGCTCCAACGATTCAGGAACGTAAATGTAGAATTATACCATAACAGAATAAAATTATTTTGAGATATTTACAATCCTGTATTATTAGAATCAAATCCAACACATAGGAAGGAAATTGAGCAACAGAAGCACCACTTGTCTGGAGAGCATTCCTCAATTTGATGTTCTCCAGATGTGGCTTAAGAGGACAACTCCCCTTACCACATATCACAGTGAGCATATCCTGTCTATTTTGCTTGAGATAATATTTGCAGGTAGAAAGTTACAAGGGCCATAGTTACTGTTCACTTAGTTGTTCATGCAAAACTTAGTTTTCTTTCTTACCTTTGTCTTTGACAAGAGCTTCCAGCTCTTCTTTTATACTCTCATGCCAACGTGTGATGTCAATGTGCAGAGAATAGTCACAGCAGGCTTTACTATCAGCACTTTCCTTCCACTGATCATAGGCAGTCAGGAGGTTTGTTCCAGATTCAGGGAATACGTGATCAACTTGAGAAACAAATAATTTTTGTTAATTGACATTAAAAGGACTTAACTGCCCAGAATCTAATGAATGCTTTTCATTTTAAAGAATAAAGCATTGTCAAAACTTTGAAATATGTATAACTATATTCAGAATAATCTAAATATGTTGATTATATGTGGGTGTCAGAAATTGTTTGTAACTTTTAGCAAAAACAAAACTGCAGAATTACAGTGACATGAGAACATGAGTATTTAATTGTACTGTACAGAATTCTTACAACAGTTCATTTAGTGACCATTCGAGGTTACAATGGGTTTGAAAAAAGTGACATGACCGTTTTTCACATTTATGACCGTTGTACCATCCCCATGGTCATGTGATCAAAATTCAGATGCTTGGCAACTGACTCATATTTATAATGGTTGCAGTGTCCCGGGGTCATGTGATCATCTTCTAAGAAGCAAAGTCAATGGGGGGAGCCCGTTTCACTTAACAACTGTGTTACTATCTTAACAACTTCAGTGATTAGGGGACTGGAGGCTAAAACATATGAGGAACGGTTGCTGGAATTGAGTATGTCTAGTTTAACGAAGAGAAGGATGAGAGGGGACATGATAGCAGTGTTCCAATATCTCAGGGGCTGCCACAAAGAAGAGGGAGTCAAGCTATTCTCCAAAGCACCTGAAGGCAGGACAAGAAGCAGTGGGTGGAAACTAATCAAGGAGAGAAGCAACCTAGAACTAAGGAGAAACTTCCTGACAGTTAGAACAATTAACCAGTGGAACAACCTGCCTCCAAAAGCGGTGAATGCTCCAACACTGGAAGTTTTTAAGAAGAGACTGGACAGCCATCTGTCTGAAATGGTGTAGGGTTTCCTGCCTGAGCAGGGGGTTGGACTCGATGACCTCCAAGGTCCCTTCCAACTTTATTATTATTATTATTATTATTATTATTATTATTATTATTATTATTATTATTATTATCATATTATTATTATTATTATTATTAAACTGTGCCAAAGAAAAATTCATAAAATGGGGCAAAACTCACTTTAACAAATGTTTTCACTTGACAAATGTTGGGCTCAATTTTAGTCGTAAGTCGAGGACTACCTGTATAGGTACTCTATAGGTATGTGGTGATATAAATGCTTCAGTGTGCAGTGTAAGGGCATTATACCCCTTTATTATTGAGTGTTGAACTTTATCTGAATTTGCTCAACTTAGAAGAGAAGGAAAATCTTTACTGGGATCAGAAACCGAAACATATAAAACTCACTAGTGTAAAACAGGTTACAGAGATATGGATAAAAGAAAATCATAAAATTACCTGAGCCTATCATCTGACTATGCATTTTGCATATAACAAAATTTAGTTATACTTTGAATAACAGGGTCAATATTATTTGCAAGTTAGAAGTATAAGTAAAGCTGGTCAGAATGACTGGGAAATTTATTTAAAAGTGAGCTTATCAATTCTGAACATATACCAGCATAAAATGGGCAATATAATGAAATGTGTTTCATGGTTTTAGTAGCCACTTTGCTGCATGGGCAAAACCTTTACCCCAGTGATTGCTGTAGGAAGGTCAAAAAGTTACTCTGTTGTGGTTTTCCCTCAGATCACACAACATGTTTTAGGTTATTCAACATATCTGAATAACCTAAAACATGTTAAGTTGCAGCTTCCTAATTTGACATGAAGGGGAAACAGCTCTTTGGTTTCCAAGTTTTCTTTCATTATTTTTTTTTAAAAACAAAGGGTTGTATACAATTCTATTATGCTCTGCTCTGAATGGATGAATGGCCAGCCTTAAGGGCTAGGGCTGATCAATGAGCAAGAGCAGGTGAGGACAGATGCAGAACTTGGCAGGTTGCCTAGTCTTAGAACACATTGGTAGTTTTGAAGGACAGAATGAAACTGATCTGCTCTGCTACTTAGGAACCAAGGAGTTTCCCCCTGAGATGCTGCTGGGGCTACTTCGGAATAGCTTGGTTGCTTTTTGCCAGAAGCAGCCTTCCAACAACAGACTTGTATTCCCGACTCCTTGCTTTGTTCTCAGATTCCAGGATTGATGACTTGAACCAATCTGTGGTGTCTGAATTCTGGGATTGACAGGGACAAATTTTGTTTTATGTCATTGCCGTACGCAATTTTTCCCAAACCTGCATGTTGTTGGCTTCTTCCTTTCTAAACCTGCCCTCTATCTTTTATGGCTACAACTCTGGACTAGACACTGTGAACCTCTAGCTGTAGACTTCTAAAATATGCTTCAATCCATTGGCACCACCAACGTTGCACCGTAATTCTGAGACAATAACAATTTATTAAACTTGTATGCTGCCCAACTTTGAGTCACTCTACCTCACCTTTTCCTACATTTCTTGTGCAAGTTTTATATGACTGCTCAGTCTAGTACTGTAGCGGTCTTGTTGGTTGTATGAATTACAGCCCCATCACTAAACCAGTTGCAAATTTGCTATTGTGTAATTGTTCCATCTGGAGCAGGACAAGTACATGACAAAATGACTACATACGTATCATGGTGGTTCCTCCTGCAAGAGCTGCTTTTGTGCCCTGGTAAAAGTCATCAGCAGAGGTCATTCCCATCAAAGGCATCTGTAATCTAGTGTGGACATCTATTCCACCTGGAATAACTAACTGGCCATAAGCATCAATTGTTTTCACACCTCCAGGAACTATCAGGTTTTCTCCAATTTGCCTGAAAATGACATTAAAACCTACACTTTAATAATTTCATTCAAGGGAAGCAAGACTTCAAAGATATTCAGTTGTGATATTCAGCATAACTGAAATGCGCTGAAATTGATGGAACAAGCTAATAATGACTTGTTCCACTAAATGCAATGAAAAAATGAGGTTTAATTCAGTAAATTATACTTCTGATATTCAGTGTTGCGTTTAGTTTTTTTTATGATTAAGAGACACTTTTAACATAGAAACGACTCACATTCACAATTATACAGCTCTACATAGAAAAAGAGAAAAAGGGCCACCTTGAAAATGCATTTCCATCAAAGGTATAGATATATTTCTTTTGAGGTCAATATGTTGTTTTTCTAAACTTTAGTTTACATATAGATATGGTAGAAAATAGTGGGGAATGTGGAACATCAGGTCAAATCACTCTATACAGATAAAATGTAAACGTACTGTTTCATGTTCAAGTGAAACATAGTTGTAATCTAAACTATAAACTAATTTATTCAAAATAAAATACCTTAAAATTAATTTTGATCTAGAGTTCCCCATATGCAAATATCTACTAGCTTTCTTCAACCTGATGACTTCCAAATGTATCTGGACTATTAACTCTTAGTATTCCTGCCAGTCAGACCAATGGGAGTAATGGTTTGGGAAGGCTGTTATAGGCAATAGTTCTGCATGTATTATTTTCATATAAAAATATCAACACAGACTTAAAGCATGCAACTGTTTGCTATGTATTATACAACTTTTTAAAGCAAAAATATGTAATCAAATCACCAACTTACTTAATCAAACCATCTTCCACAAAGATATCTGCATAAAATGACTGATCATCATTGACAATCTTTCCTCCTTTGATGAGCAACTGGTCAGTCTAATTTAAGTAAACAAACAAAAACATTTCTAAGATAACTACAGATGCTTCATTCAAAGGCCACCTTGGGTATACGATCAGAAACCCGATGCATGTAGAGCATATATTGCAATACAGACACAATCTTCAAATGTTGAAACATGCGTTTAAATAAAACATACATTAACGAAACCAGTTTGTGCACCCTTGTCATTGTGATTTGGCCAGTTATAATTTGAAAAAAATCTTCATTTATGAATTTTAAGGATTGTCCCATCAATCTGGTCAATAACATTTTTATTTTACGGTATGATGGAAGACAGGCAACTCTTAATAAAAATGGAAAGCCTTGGAAATAAGGAGGGTTGATTGTTTTCTCATAGAAAGCCTTTGTTTCTTCTCTCTCCAGGCCTCCCTACCACTTCAAATGCTGTGTCCAACACAATGAGACTCAGACCAATGCAGGCTGTGACATAGCTACAAAAAGGGGCCAAAAGGGGGTACTTTTTTTCTTTCCCTTTCCTCACTAAAATGACTACTTTTTTTCCCTTTCATCTGATGTTCTTTCTTAGATAAAAAAATGTTAAAATGCCATACTTTCGGTGTTCTCTGTTCAATGAGCACATGGAAATTCCAGGATCTTTTCAGTAATGACAGCTTGGGACAGAAGACTGCTGACAATTTGTGAAGCTTCTGTAACCTTTACTTATCAACCAAGATATGAATTTATAAACAGATAGACACAGGCAGTCCTAATCTCTAAAAGAACATCACTTCCATCAAAGAAATAGAATATTGTTAAGTAAAACAAAACAATACTAATCATTAAGCAAGGAAGAAAGCAATACAAAAAACATTTTATTTTAACAAAACTCCATTTTTATCACACCCAGAAATGTATGGCTAAAATTGTTTTGTGACTGATATTTTATTGTAAAGATACTTCTAAAGATTCATGTATGTTTGCCTTTGTCTCAGAAAAAAAACTATGATCACTAAGAGTTGACACTGACTTAATTGGACATAATCAGTCAATGCTGGCTTCTTTATTAAACTGAGATGATATAAGCTGAGATGATATAAGATGATATTCAGTCTCATAGTCATATGGGGCTTAGGTCCCTAAATGCAGGCTCACCCAAAAATGTAAGTGTGGAAGGTAAATAATAAGTACTTGCATTTTCTTCAAGGTATAATAGTCTTAAAGCTTCCTTTGTCTCTAACCCAGGGGGTAGGCAACCTTGGCTCTTTTACGAGTCATAAAAGAGCCAAGGTTGCCTACCCCTGAGAGTCTAACCTAATCATAGAAGATGAGGTCTAACACAGGTGCATCAATCCTGTGGTCCATGGGCCGCATGTGGCCCTGGACAACCAGTAATGCAACACAAGAATGTAATAAAAATATAAAAACTAAAATTAACTGCATTATATATTTTATATGAGGCTCAAAATAATTTCTCTTCACTCATCGCTGCCCAGGACACCCATGGTCTAACACAGGGATGTCAAGCCCGATTGCGTCGCGGTCCAGATTGTGAAGTATTGTGATGTTTTTTGCCCGTGTGGAGCCGGGGTGGGCGCGGCCTGCATGGGCTGCATGTGTTTGACATGCCTGCTCTGACACATCTGAAATGCTAGATTTGGAAGACTTGGATGCTTTCCTTTCATCCTGGTTAAAATGAGGCCTACAGGAGTTCAGTTGCACTGTAAGAATTACACTGAGCTCCTTCCCTCTATTCAGAGTTTTCATACAGACCCTTGCGATTGTGATAGGAGTGAAAAATTGCTTTACATGTATATTTTGAAACCATAATTTGAGAGTTACAAACACAATATTTAGTGATTACTTTTCATTACTCTCCCCTTTTGATTCCATGAGCAGTGAGCCTCTTACCTGAGCAATTATTCTGTTTGAATTATAACCAGGGAAAAACAGATGCCCTGAGCCAACCTGTATTTACCTAGCTTCTTTTCAAATCAGTTTTCCAGAGTTGGTTTGATCTGGCTCATACAGTGCTAAACAAAGAACCCCTACATCAGTTGGGATCAAGAGACCCTTTAGTCCGGGGTGTCAAACCGCACCCACCCCATTGCTGGCAATGGGGGAAAAGCTCCAATACATCACGTGAGGTCACAAGTTTGACATGTCTGCTTTAGTCAAATGTTTACTCATGAAAAATCTCTTATACCCGTAAAGCAGTATTTTTGCTGAAGAGGAACAGTGGAATATTATCAAAGAAAAGAATCAATGCAGAGAGATTTAGCCATGTTATTTAACATCAGATGGAGAGCTGCAATGGAAAGGGCATGCAGAACGTGTAACCTCTTTCTTCCATTTAGGCATTTTAAGAGTTTATAAAGTTATAAGGCCATTAGAAGAACAATTGTTCATCAGCCAAGAATAAATTGATAATGCATAAATAAATTATGATAATGCATGCTTAAATCTCATCTCTATAAACCTTAAGTGGCATTAGAATACAATCAAATATATTGGCCAGGATCCAAAATGATGGTTAGGTTCATCCAGAAAAGATGAGACCAATGAATGTAATGAGGCTGAGGTGTTGGGAGCTGATTATCCCTTACCAAACCCTCTTTGGCTTCCAAAGGAATAAACCAAGAAGCTTTGAGAACTGTTCTAACATTGACATGGATTCACTGTTTTCCATTCAGAATCCTGTAAACCCTGATTGGTAGATTACATGTTACTCCAGGAGGAGGTCTATTAATAACTCTGCATTTTCATTCAATTCAAACATAATTTAGTGTATGTGAATTTGGGCACATCCTTTCCCAAACATCTTTAAAAAGCCAGCAGTGGCCCACAAATTAGCAGCTTTTAGTAAAATATAGGGAAAGAATTGAAAGTATATTGAATAGTACTATTAATATCAGGTTCTTTTATACGTGGCCTCAGAAGTAACTACACCAAGTTTAATTAAGATCACTCCTAAACTTGGAAGATGACTTCAGCCTGATGGGGAAAATGTATACAAACTATTAATATTAAGGTAACCATAAGCATTATATAACTGTGTTCCATAAATATAAGTATGCAGATGATTCCTTCTGACACAATACCCTAATGTTACACCTGGACTCTTTTGTGCTAAAGGAGCATGACAACTCAGTGCATATCTACTTATAAACCTACACTCAACTCAATTACAGATATGATTACACTACCCTGTATTATAGAAAATCCAGTACAATAGATTGCATAAATACAGGTATCTAGACAAATAAAAAGAGTCTGAAATAACTGATTCAACCCAGAGAATCATCTTATAATCAGCAGAACTGATTTTGAAGACTCTCCAACTGAAGCTCATAACACGATTTGAGTCCTTCTAAAGTTCAGGATTACAGTGGGAATTACACCCAACAAAACAGCAAATTAAGACTCCAAATGTGGTAGTTTCATTAGACAAGCATAACTCATATCCCCCCCCATAAAAAGCATTTTGTCACACCTTCCCATTGTTTCCATATTCTCAGGTTAGATAGGGTGACTTCAACACTCAACTCTACCCATCCTGTTCAGTGAAGAAATTTGAGAGTTTTAAAGGAGATGCATCAACACACTGTAACACTTATCCGTTCTGAATGTCAACTTAATAACTTGCATTGATTTGCATATCTTAAAAATTCTTCTTTATCTTCCCTTTGTAACCTTGGCTTAAAGCTTTCAGAATTCTGTAATGGTTCTAAAAGTGTGTGTGTGTGTGTGTGTGTGTGTGTCAGCTGCAGCAGGGTTTAAAAGGCTGTCAAGGAAACCCCCCCCCTCAAAGACTGGGAAACAGTGACAAGAATTTCTAGCGGGGGGGGGGAGGGGAGACGTTTTGAAAGAATACCACCCCTCCTTCCTTCGAGTTTTGCCTACCCAACAATCTGAAGATCTTTCACCCGCAGCATCCAATCTGGGTCGCTTACCAGGACCAGAGGATTTCTCTTCCGAGCTTTCCGACTCACGCGGAAGCCCTGGGCGACCACCTTTTATTGTCTTAAAAAGATACATTTCTAGACAGTTGGGCAAATACATCTCCTGAAATAAAGCGGGAGGCCGCTTTCCATAAACGGACGTTTAAGCAATAGAAATCCGACCAAATTAAGGGGGTACAGCTTCCAAGGAAAAAGGTCGACTTTCAGGACGAGGTCTGAAATTCAGACCTGAAAGAGGGCGAGGGCGAGGGCGGCGGCGGGAGGGGAGGAGGAACATCCCGTCCCAAACACCGTGCTCTTCCATGCCTGAGCAAGCCGGGGACCCCCAAGGTCCCGTGGCACCCAGGGCCTTCCCGCCTCCTCCACCGCCAGCCCAGCACCTACAGCGGGGGCTCCAGGCCGAAAGCTCGGAAGACAGAACCTCTGGTTTTGCAAAGTGATCCTGGGACTCGCCTCCACTCCTCTTTTACTGGCCCTACAGCCCGCTGGGCTCCTCCGAGGAATCCGCCAGGCGATTCTGCCGTCTGATCCAGTCGCGGCTCTCCAGCAAGCTCCGCCGACCCGCTCCCAAGAGTTTTCGGTAGCGCTCGCCGCGAAACGACCAAAGGCGGACCCCGGGACCCCAGGTGGGTGGCCGGGCAAGCGCTCCCCACTCGCCCCTGGGCGGGATCCTCGCTCTCCCCTCCGCTCTCTTCCACTTCCCGCTCCCCCGGCGCGAGCGATCCTCTGCTCTGCGCCACGAAACCAAACCACCCGCGCCGTCCCCTCCCGGGCCCTCGGGCGGCAGACCGAGCGAGGCCTGGTCCCCGGAGCCCCCTCCCCGCCTGGCGCCCTCGGGGGGAGGGTCTCCCGGAAGCCGGAGAAGCCCCTCTCCGACTTCGGGAGCTTTTCTCCCATCCCCGCCAGGGACGGCCGCCCAAGGTCGGCGGCACCGATCGACGCCGACCTCCTCCCCCCTCCCCGCCCAGCAGAGACGAGCGGCGAGGAAATGCCCGAGGCGCCCTCACCGTGATCCGAGGGGTGTTCTTCTTGCCTTGGTAGGACATCTTCCCCGCAGGCCGCGCCTACAGCGTGGGAAAGAGGGCAACGAACGCAAAGCGGCCTTTCGCTGGGGCGAGAGGAGGCGAAGCGGCGGCGGCGGCGGGCGCGGGGAGCGGGGCGTTTGCGCGCGCGCCTCCCTGGCTGGCGGATTGTTCTGGCAAGCGGGGGAGGGGGGAAGAGGGGGAGGGCGAGCGCGCGAGCGGCGGCGCGGTGTCTCCCCCTGTTCTGCCGGCCCTCAGCCTCTCGGAGCAGCTGCCTGATTAGCATTCCGCCTTCGCGCCTTCGCTAAACTGCAGACAGCCCCCCCCCTCCTCCCCAGTCCCAGACGGGCAGGCAGCTCCGCTTGGGGCCTCCCTCCCGGGCAGGCTGCGCGCAGACGCGGCCCCTTCCCTGCCCAACAAAGGTTCTGGGCCGCCCTGGCTTCACAACAAAGAACACGTGGCCGAGCCGCTGCAGGTGCTGGGCTGGCGGCGGGAAGGCCCTGGGGGGGGGAATGGGGTCCCCGGCTTGTTTAGGCTTGGAAGAGCACCGCTTTTGGGACGGGATGCTCCCTTCCCCGCCGCCCTATTTCAGACCTTGTCCTGAAAGTCGACCTTTTCCTTGGAAGCTGTATCTCTTTGATCTCATTTTATTGCCCACGCAAGCTTATGGAAAGCGATCTCCCGCTTTATTTCATGAGATGTGTTTGCCTAACTGACTAGGAATGCATATTTTAAGACAATATTTATTTAAAACCGAGTTGCAAGGGGCAATTAATTAGCCGAGTCCCCATTTTCTCTTCCTGAGCATTAGCAACAACCCCCAGCGAAAATCTGGGAAGGTCGTCTTTTTTCCGGACACGTGTTCTTTGTTGTCAAGCCAGGCTGGCCTCTTTTCAGTTATTCCCCAGATACTATTCCAGTATCGATCTGATTGGTGATTAGGTTTACCCAGGAGAGCCTATTCTAGCTAGGGAGAAGATTCCACTCATATAGGGGAATGCATTCATTTCAATTTCGGTGGAATAAAGGCCATCTAGTTTTGGGGAATGTCATTTTCCCTAATTCCCCCTCCACCGATGGACAACACTCATCCTCTCCCAAATGTCCGCGTATACACGCAGAGATAGGACACCTATTTATGTTTCTGATCGAGTGGATCTCTGTCCCTGAATACTGATCCCATAATGAATATATGCAACTTCGTAGAATTTGTATTTCTATAAACGAATCTTGGTTGGTTTTAAATCCCTTGTTCTCGAAATCCTAAGTGACAATGCTCTACTCCCTCCTCCTCCTCCTCTTCACCGTATCATGTGGCCCGTCCTTTATTAACTGCCATAAATCAGGATGGCAGAAAGGTTTCTTTGCTCCCCTTACGCAGCCCCCTTCCTCCTTCGGCCGAGTTTTCTTTGCATTCAAGTAGCCATTGAAAAGCGAAAAAAATGTCATTTTTGTTTCTCGTCACAGTTTATCTTTATAGAATGCTTCAGATAAAATAGGTGTTCTTGCCTGGCCTATTTCGCTTGGGTAGTGTTAAGCTTGGTTACTTGTGCTGGTGACGGCTTAGGGACTTTGATAAACGTAACCGGTTTGATTAATTGAAGGCTGGGCGGACTGCACAAAGCCAGACGTGCTAATTCAGAAGGCCAGTTAAACGCATTGCTAAAGTCGAAGGGGTGCGCGTATTGCGCCTAGTCTCTTCCCGTTTAAAACTATCAGCTATCAGTAACTGGTGGTGTTACCTAGTTTGGGTAATGAAACGTCTGCAAGAAAACAAACTCAAGAGAGCGCCAGTATCGGCTTTAGTGGGAATAAATGCGACGACTCAATCTGCAACTTTATAAACGCCACCTTACGCTGCAGTCGCATGCTTATCGGCTAGAAATAAATCTCTAGGTTTAGTACGATTTACTATTCCCCATCCATCCCTGAGCAGCCTCGGATTCACGGTAAAATCAACCAATCGGCCGCCAGCGCCCATTGAGTTTCAAACACCGAAACCACAGTGATTGGATGTCTGAGCGGAGAGAGGTGGGGGAGGGGATAAGAGCATACCCGTTGATTCAGATGCAAGTTCTGCTTTAGAAAGGTTGAGGTCAAAATTCGCTCCTCTCCTATTTGCCTTGCAAAACTAGCACGTGACTGAATCTTATTTCTGCTTTTTCTGCGTAGCTGTGTAGGTGAAAGCCCCAAAGTCCCACCACCAGGGGCGAGAGGGTTGCGAGAGAAAAGCCACACGCGCAGTGAACCCTGGTGAAACCTACCCCAGCCGTTTAAAGAGGTAATAGTGGCTGCAAAATCAACCGCCGCCTCGCCTCTGCCCTATTTTTTTTTTAAGGCTGCTCCCCCCCCTGCAATGGTAGAGTAAAAGGAAAAGGTAGGGCTTTTAATTTAAAACCGAACTCTGATTTAAGAAGTGGAGCTGACCTATTGTGGCTGTTCAATAGGGGAAAGACCTGCTTTCTCTGTAGCCCCTGGCGGCGCTCTACTTCGCGGACAGACGCACACCTGACGCAAATTGCAACCTTGGTTTAAACCAGGGGTAGTCAACCTTGGCTCTTTTATGACTCGTGGACTTCAATTCCCAGAATTCCTGAGCCAGCTTAGCAGGTTTAAACAATGGGACCGTAGTTTTTTTCTACATTTACAGACACGTTTCACATGTTCTGCCATTAAATACATTTGTGAAAAAGGGGGGCATGGGGAGTGGCATATGAAGTTAATGGGAAATCCAAAAAGATCACTTCTTCCCGTGACGACTATCCTTCCCCCCCCCCCCGCGTCTTCTCCCTTACCTGATGGCCACCGGTAGGCAGCTGCTCCCTAATCCCAGGTGAAGGCGGACACGGTTCTGGCACGGAAGTTGTCCCGTTGCTGGTTTCAATCTGCTCTTCCGATTCGCTGGACTGCTGGCTGGAGTCTTCTCGGTGAAGCTTCCGACTCTCGTTTCTTTTCTCACAACTGAAAGAAGCAAAGTTCAGGGTTTTGTTTTCAAAGGCGCCCTCTACGTTGCAAAACATGCCTCCGTATTTCTGCCTGGGCTTGGGGCTCCCGGCGCCGAGTGCCGCGAAGTAATCGGGGAGGTCTTCCTCTTTCTTCTCCGGTTGCTGCTCTCTTCGCTCTGCCATGGCTGCCTGGGAAGCAGGCCACCCTCTTGAGGCTACTGGTGCCGGGGAATGAACTGAAGCTAAAGGTTTAGGGAAGGGAGGGTCACAGAAAAGCAGGGGTTCAGCTTGACTTTTCCTAACGAATCAGTCCGGCGATTTCTTAGGCTGATAATATAAAGCCTCCAGCTGGAGCCGGGCTGGCAGGGAGCTGTCCAAGATATATGGTGCTGAAACAGACGCGTCAGAGAAGTTCATTAGAAGGACATCTCGGCGGAAGCCCACCTACGGGGGAATTTCCATTGCTGTCAGTTATCCCGCTTTTCCTCTTGGGTGGGGTTGATTCAACTCCACTTTGCTGTTGCTGGATCTCGGATGATCTCAAGAGAAAAGAAAAGGCTACTAAAATGTAGTGACAGCTATTAAACTATTATCACTAGAATAGAGTAACTGTTAAACAGAGATAATAAAATAGATTCAGTTGATTTTGTCCTAAAAATGTTACCCAAGGATGTGTAATAAAAACGAAATATTCTTTTGTCAAAACATTCTGACTACATTGGCTTGCTAAACACTGCATATTCTTAAGTCTGTAGACTTTGATAAACCTCAATTTTATTGTTCTAAAATCTCCAAATTTGAAATAAATACCTATATTAGTAAATATGGGCTTCTTTGCTAAGTCCTCTTTTTCTGTTCTATTTTCCCTTAATTTTTATCCAAATTTTCTACAGAAAAAACTAGTAAAACAGAAATTGTAATTATACTTTCAACATTTTTGTAATTTAGCGCTTAGGGGTAATCCCTCACCTATTTAACATCTACATGAGACTGCTGGGTGAACTCACCTGTCACCATGGGGTGAGGTATCATCTGCCCTGGTGAATTAAATGATGTTGTGGACATCCTAGCTTGGTGTCTGGAGGCTGTGAGGGTCTAGATGGGAAACAACAACCTTCAACAGAATCCTAGGATGAATTTATAGCTTTGGGTTTTGGAGCTCTCTGATTCTAGGATGACACTGTTTCTGGTACTGGGTGGGGTTGCACTGCCCCAAACAGACCCTTTGTACAATCTGGGGATTCTCCTGGACACTGGGTTCATGCTAAATGAGCAGGTGGCAGTTATGGTCAGGGGGAGCTTTGCACAACTCTGTTTTGTGTACCAATTGTGCCTATTCCTGGATGAAGGGGCCCTACTCATGATCATTCATGCCCTGGTCACCTTTTAATTGGACTATTGTAATGTGGTGTACATTGCAATGGGGCTGCCATTGAAGACACTTCAGCTGGTGCAAAAGGCGGAGGCACAAGTGGTAACAACTGATTCTGATAGCAGAAGCTTAATTTGGAGATATCCAAAGCTTTTTCATATGTGCAAAAATGTCCAGCTATTCCCATGTGCATACTTAAAAAAATAAAGAATTGCCACTCAGCATGTGATAGCATTGCTTTAGATTTTTTCCTATTCTGTGTAGAGAAAAAAATACTAAAGTAGTTATAGGTTTTAAAAGACTTTTTAATTAAAAGTTTACAATAATTTATGTACTTTACAAATGAATAGAAAGTCTTTGATATATAGCATATGAATCACAGTTCAAAAATATGTATACATTTTGTACATACGAGCTTACTTTAGGCTTATCGATATCTTTTTAGCACAGAACTTAAGTATTGAGGATATGATTATTGTGAGATTACCTTAAAAATAACACAAGTAGAACATGGCATATTTACCATGGGAGAAAAAGTCTTTCCAGATGCATTTACTTTATACAAATATTTACAGTAAATGTACAATTAATATGTAGCTATACTATACATACAGTACGATTTCCTGAGTCTAAACTAAATCCATTACTGCTGAGAAACACATTTTGAACTGTAAGCTTCATAATGATTTTACTAATGCATGATGATTTGGCACCTGTCCACAAAAAATAACTTTCAGATAACATTTTCTGCACAACAGGTATGCAATGTTAACAAGCTGTGTAAGACACACAGGGAAACAAAAAGGTATTTAGTGAGCTGAATATTCCTAAATAACATCTACAGTCCTTCAACAGCTTGAAAAACAGGCATAAGTTTAAAATACACAATGCACAGTCACTAACAAATTAGGCAACAATTCACATGGATTTTATATTTAGACTTGATGTAAAAATGACCCAGAAATATGCTCCTGCTGGATCTAGTAAAAGACAAGCTATGTACGACAATGCTGTCAGTGTGATATATTTGTTAAGGCTTTTCTGAAACTCTGATATTACAATTAAAGGTACTTATATGAAATCATTTTCTCCATTTCTCCATCAACTACTTTCTTATATCAGTCATTAAAAGGTTATATCTGCAAAAAAAAAGTTCAGACATAGTCTCAGCTCATGGGATATACAGTAGATGTGCTGAGACAGAAAATGAATTCTAGATCATTCTTTATCACAGTTGGAAATTTTAATATGAATTGGATTTTTTATACTTAAATTCCTCTTCAGATAGACTCAGCACATGTGAGGCCTTCCTATTTACTGAGATGACAAGACAGCTCCATTAAGATTGCACAAAATTTGAGTAGACAAATTGGCATGTTCCAATCAATGAAGTCAGTAATTTGTCCTTTCGCTTCCCAAATACTGGTTGTGCATCATCAGTGAAGTACAGTTAGTGCTAGACTTTTATAGATGATGCACAAATAAGGTGCATCTGACATCAGAAGCAAAGTATATTAAAACAGCACAGGATGTTTTATGTTGTTGTCTGAAATACTCAGAACTATTAAGGCTACAAACTAATGCACACACATAAAAAGCATAGGAGTAAGCCTTACTGAGTACAGTGGGATTTATTTTAGGGGAAACATGCATAGGATTGTATCCAAATTAGACAAATTTTAGAAATTTGCACCAAGAATTGTGTACAGACAAAGTGTCGATGTCCGCATTAAACCATAGAAAAGGCAGTTACAAATGTACACCTATATGTCTGGACACGCAAGAGTCCTCTGTATCCCTTAAAAACAACCTGAGAGCTCTAAATTGTGGTAAAACTGATACATAACACACACACACACACACACACACACACACACAAGTTTCTGAGACCTTTTTTTTGCTCTGCTTGCTTATCGTATAAATGTTAAGAGGCGTGTTTGTGTGTGTATCAGTTTTACCACAATTTAGAGCTCTCAGGTTGTTTTTAAGGAATACAGAGGGCTCGTGCGTGTCCAGATATATAGGTGTGTGTGTGTGTGTGTGTATGTTTCTGAAACTTTTTGCTCTGCTTGCTTATTGTATAAATGTTAAAGAGGCGTGTGTGTGTGTGTAGCTTCTTAAAGTTTATATAATAAACAGAGCAAAAAAAAATTCTCAGAAATTATTGCAATACATATGGCAGACTAATGTAAAAACTAAATTGTGTCTGGGTTGCAGAGACAATCAAGAAAGCAATTCTGAAAAAGAAAAATAACATTGGTTTGTGTGAAACTCTTTGGAGGAAAGAAATGTTTTTCTTATGTTTTCTTTAGGATAATAGTTAGAAGCAATCTGGACCAATCTTTGTAAAGGTGAGATGAACCTCAGAATGTCCTCTATCTGGGTTCAGGTACAGTTTAATATAGCAAAAGGCAGTGTTTTGCATCCTGTGACTAGTTCAAGTGAGGAGAAAGTGTCGTTCTTCAATTAGTACTGGAAAATGCTGCATATGCTGCATATGCGTGCTACTTTGCCATGATGGAGTCCAACTTTGGAGTCCAAAGTTACGTTAGTATAATCTAGGGTTGAATATCTACTTGTTTCATCAGAGACATATTTCTCTAGAATTAAATTGTGATTATTTCATGGGATTTTTTTGGTTAATTTGTGGATGACTTCAGAGTTGACAAGCAATCAGCTATCCCCAATTTGGTAGTCTCCAGATGTATACAAATTCTGAGAATACAATTTTGAGAATTCCTAGCCAATTTTGGACAAGGATTTGGAATTCAAGGAGGTGAAGCACCAGCAATTCCAAAGGAGATTAGAAAAGACTTAGATATAAGCTTTGTAGCTCTAGTCAAGTGTTTGTTGAAAAATGATCATTTTAGCCTCACAGAAGTAACTCTACATTTTTTTTTCTATATGGGGTGTGGATCAGGGGTCCTCAACCTTGGCAACTTTAAGACTTGTAGACTTCAACTCCCAGAATTCTGGGACTTGAAGTCCACAAGTTTTAAAGTTACCATGGTTGAGGACCTCTGGTGTGGATGGATGTGCGTGTGCATAATACGTATATGTGAATGTAATGTAAGACTTCTGAGTTGCAGAAAACAAAAATACATTCACTGAGTCATTCTTATATGTACAATGCATATTTCCATGTAAACATTAGCATATTTATATACACCTTCACTTATTTTTTTACATTTCCCTGTCCTATATAGACAAACCTGTTTCTATAAAAGTTTTAAAAAAGAGATATTAATTGGCAATTATAGGACAACTGAATGAAGCATATGTACAGCATGCAAAATTGTCTGCAGAAGAAATTTATACAAGACCAGTTTTCAGTTCTGTGAGCCGTTCAGTGCATCGCATATTGCTCAACATTACCAGGCCAATAGCAGCATTTGAAATCCTCAGCGCATCAATTCACTCAGTATTTATGGCAGTCTTTCTCAGTCTCAGGAAGTTTCAATTCCCAGAAATGCCCAGCCAGCATACTGAAGTTGAAGTCCACACATCATAAACTTCCTCAGATTGAGACACACCAATTTAAGGCATTTAAATGGACGCCTACATACAGTATTGTTTTTTGCTTTTAATTAGATCAGGGGTCTTCAAACTTGGCAACTTTAAGACTTGTGGACTTCAACTCCCAGAATTCCTCAGACCCCTGAATAAGATTAATGATATTTACTAATCTAAATAAATGCAATGCCTATGGCACTTGCACGTGAGTTGAGTAGGGCCAAGGTATTAGATCAGGGAGACTTGGGTTCAAGTGCGTCTTTAGGTATGGAAGCTCTCTGGGTGACTTTGGGGCCAG